TTTTGCAAAATAGTCAGGCTGAATACCAGTTTGTTGTTTTTATAAAAAACAACTATTTATTAGTGGGGAATGTATGGCATTGTTTTGCCGGGGGGGAAGGCAAGGAAGACTATAGTTTCGGATCACGCCACTGATCCTCATCAGTGAGGCTCCAGCGAAATTCTCAGCTAAGTACTTCGCTTTGTTACAAGAGACATTTGGGTATGAGCGGAACGGCAATAGCTTCTGGAGAGAATATCTCAACAAAAAACTAAGGGAACTGATGAGGATCAGTGGCGTGACCCGAAACTATAGTCTTCCCTGCCTTACCCCTCGGCAAACAATGCCATACATTCCCCACTAATAAACAGTTGTTTTTTATAAAAATTTCTATAAAATGTGGACTTATGTATTTTCACGTTAAGCCAGCGATATTTTTTTTATTAAGCTTAGTTTTGATAAAGGAATGATTTAAGAAAAATAAGATCAAAGTTGTACATATTTTTGATGTAAATGTTTGCATATTTGAGGGGACTGGTGCGGATCTGCTGCTGTGTCAGTTATCAAACTATTTAACGACATTATAAATGTTCTTAATACCAATTATAGCTGTCATTATTATGGGATACAATGTATACGAATGGCTTCGTTTGAACTAGCCGCCAACTTGATTTCGATGGAAAATGCAGTTGAAAAAGTTATTTTTGCTATAATTACTACTGTATGAAGTGATGACGCTTATTTACACATGGATCTAGAGAGCTCCATTTATAACACGTTGTCACCCTTATCGATAGTCTTTTGTTTTAATGCTCCAATTCTTCGTTTTAATTGTTTGCAGCGACTTGGCAAAAAGTAGAAGAATGTGAATAATGAAATGAAACAGTAGTCGTAATACTTAATGGAAACCAAACGTCGAGGATTAATTCTCCAAGCCGCAGAATACAAACAACTCCGAAAAAAGCTGGTAGTCGTTTAGAACATTCATCAAGCCATATAAAAGTATAGCTACAATAATAATTTTTATGGACAGAAGTGGTTATTTTTGAGCGGTAAACATGAATACGAAGTAGACTTACAGTATTTTATTTCATATATAGAACTATGAAATTACACACTCATTCTGACTTCCCCATGAATTTTTGACATATCAAATGGGATATATAGGTACACGTTCTGATTTAGTTCCCCAAATTTGGGTATTTTGAATGTTTTGGTCGCATTTTCAACCGATAGATATCTTATTTCGTTTTCCGAAGTTTGGAAGCGTGATCGACATTTCTGCAAAAAATTTTGTATGTAGGTCCATGTTTTGACATAAAGTTTGATTAAGGTTTCGCTCTATTTCGGCATTTTGAGCGAGTTATCCTATGGGTTTATGGTTTTATATAGCCCCCATATAAACATCCCTTCACATTTTCGGTACTTCAAAGGCTTTAGAGGCATTTTCGCACCCATTTCCCAATATTCGATATAGATCCAAATTTTGATATTATATAAAAGTCCTGCGATATTTTCCCTAGTTTGAAGGTTTCTGCCCCATTATCTCAAGAGGAAAAATATTTTGCTGAATATTTTCGTTGAAGGTTCATGTTTTATTAGTCCCCGTATAAAAAGGATTCGCCTCATATTCGGAATTTTGTAAGTTTTAGCACTGAAGTCTCTACGTTAATGTTAATCGCACAGAATTCAACCTTGGTGTCTGTAATTGTAATTTGGTATTCAATTTTCGAAAACATACAACGAGACAATTTGCCAAAACCTACATTTAGCTGAAGAAATAAACAAAAACTTTATTTTTGTCTGTTTTTCTGGTCGCTCTAAAGACCACAAGAAATTTTACACCAGGAAGGGAATCTGACCAAAGAATAAACATGACTGTTTTTATGAAGATCGATCAATATTTAGCGGGTCAAATCGTATGAAAATGACAAATTCTGAGGCGTATATTTATTCCGAGGGACATAGACCCGAGAAGTATATCCAAGAGGACTTGCTGACCTTTAAATTGATGCCAATTATATTGTTATATGCACTCGGATGTGGGTGTTATACGTAAATATTTAAAGGTACCAATGGCGGAAATGTTGCGCTGATCGCTTTGAAATTTTACATGAAGTTCCGGTTATGGTCAAGGACGACGCCTATAATTTCCGGTGATGTTAAGATTATTTTTAGGGGGTGCAACGTCAGATTTTCTAGTCGCTCTAGAGGTCATTATTATATACAGAACGTCACATATTTTACATTGTGAAGGGGATCAATCCAAATACATGGAACGCCTGTTTAGAGGATGATCTGTCAATATTCCGAGGGCTAAATCAACCAAAAGCTAAAGTGACCAAATTTTTATTTTATGTCGTAAATATTCACATCGGGAAAATAAGATTTGGAAATCCAAATACATGGAACGCCTGTTTAGAGGATGATCTGTCAATATTCCGAGGGCTAAATCAACCAAAAACTAAAGTGACCAAATTTTTATTTTATGTCGTAAATATGGGTTATGGTCAAGGACGACGCCTATAATTTCCGGTGATGTTAAGATTATTTTTAGGGATGCAACGTCAGATTTTCTAGTCGCTCTAGAGGCCATTATTATATACAGAACGTCACATATTTTACATTGCGTAGGGGATCTGTCCAAATACTTAGAACGCCTGTTTAGATGATGATCTGTCAATATTCCGAGGGCCAAATCAACCAAACACTTAAGTGACCAAATTTTTATGTCGTAAATATTCACATCGGAAAAACAAGATTTGGAAATCCAAATACATGGAACGCCTGTTTAGAGGATGATCTGTCAATATTCCGAGGGCTAAATCAACCAAAAACTAAAGTGACCAAATTTTTATTTTATGTCGTAAATATTCACATCGGGAAAATAAGATTTGGAAAGTGAAGCTGTTGACCTGTAATCTGTCTAGAGGGTGCAGGCTTAGAATATAGAACAACAAAAAGTGAAATTTTGTTGGTAGTCGGCCTCGTCCGACTATACTGCCCCCTTACAGTTTTTTTAATTTTTTCGATTTCAGTTGATTTACTTTATGTCACTTTGCCAAAATTTTATGCCAGATGACTTTTAATCCTGCGACCTATATTCCCACCAATATAGGGTGGGAATAGCAGTTAGGTCCACCAAAATATCTTAAATAGGACGGAAATTGTATGTAGGCGCTATGTCAAAACATATATCTTTTTTGCTATGTTGCGAGGAAATCTCTGGAATTAAATTTAAATATTCAAAATTCAAACTAAATTCGCTGAATGGTATAGCGTTGCAATGCGAATTACCCAGAACGATTTTTTTTTTACTAAATCACAAATATGAAAAAAAAATCTTGAAATTGACCATCGCACCAATGTGTTTTCTGTTCTCTTTTGGGACATAAAACCGGTCCAATCGATGACACTTTAATAATATTCACAGAGTTATTTATTGTTTGGGGGCTTCCTTCGTTTGTCGCTCTTGTTGTTGTCGTAAATGTGTGGCATGTATTGTCTGTTTTAGAATATTCATCCATGTTCTCGCATTCAAAATGAAATGAGAATTGAGCAATTAAGACGAGTTAAAGTCGTTATTGTTCAAATTAAAATGATTCATAAATTAAGTGTAGGACGTTAAAATCAATAAACGAATTCAACTGAAAATGGGTTAAATCTGGAAAAAGAAAAAAAAATTGGGCTGCTACTCAATATAATATCTGGGCTATTCATGTCACTGTAATACACAAAAATTTATAATTCGTAAGTCAATTCTAAATTTGGCTTTTTCGCCTTGTCAAATCAAATACCTCGATAATTTGTAAAATTTATTATAATAATTTTGTCAGATTTATATAATATATTATATATTGTGGGACCTCTTCTGTATTATTCATCAAAGTGACTACCAAGGGTTAGGCATGTTTTTCTATCCTCAGTTTATAGTTTTGAATTTGCTATGATATTTTGGATTTCACTGAAAATATTGAAAAATATTTCAAATTCAAAACTATTACCCAAGGTTTATCAGGAAAATGTTTACATTTAAATTCAAATTCATTTACACATTAATTTCCTTATAAACACAAAACGAAATTTATTTCCTAAAATTATGGTGTAAACTTTGACTTTAAATCGTTTTGCATTAATTCATTAACTTATTTGTAACAATCAAGAACAGTAATTAATGAGTTCGTATTGAAATGAAATATTTTACATACTTAAAAAGAATTATGGCAGGGAAAATACTTTCAAAACGTTTACATTTTAATGAGCGAGGGACAGACAATTGGGCATTTTGTCTTGTAATTAAAAGTTAATTAATGATTTGATTTTTTGTACATATTTTCAAATGTGTATGTATATTTACACAAATCAATACCTATGTATACAATGCAACATGTACAGGGATTATTTAGTAGTTGCCGTCTTTTCAGATATCTGGCGATAATTAAATCAACATAATTTGTAAATATTCTTCTGTTAAAATAGTTGGTTTGGTAGGCTTGGTGAAATATGACAGAAAATACAAGGGACGTCCAAAAAATGACCAAATTATAACTTTAAATAACTGAACCTGTCATTAATAAATATTTGGCTATCGTAATAAAAACGACTTTATCGAAACTCCTAAAATCAAGTGTCTCCACTAGTTAGTGGCCAAGTAAATAATTGATCTTATTTAAAAACATGGGAATATTACTCCTAAAACTTCCATATATATTATTATATCATTCGATCATGTTCTGGCATTCACTTCAACGGTAGAAGTGTATCGAACACACGTCGAGCTGTTCTGTAACACTCTTACACCCATTTGAAGTGAATTTTTTACACTTACATTTTCATAGTGAGAGTCGGGTGTATTCATGTTTTTCCATATATATGATATATTAATATGTTATAAATGCCAATATTTTTTTTTTTAACCAAAAACTTCTTTGAAACTTTAAAAATGTTAACAAGTAAGAAAAAGACACAGTTCGGGGTAGACCAAACACAAACGAGATATTCATCTAAGATTGTTACTGCAACAATAAAATAATATATTTACAGGGTGAGATGAAAAAACTGCAATCAACTTCAGACTGCTGTCATTTCTAAGTCACTCGTCTGACAGCTGTTAAAATTATTCCAGTGACAGCTCATTATATTGTTTGCAATCGTACAAAAGCATTTTGGTGAGATATTTTCAGAAAAAAGTTATTCGTGATGAAATTTAAGCGTGATAGTGTGATTTCTTTATATTTGACTAGAAAACCACAAGTGGCTATCGTTAAAGCTCTCCAGCATTTAAATGTGAATAAATCGTTTGTGTCTCGTACCATCGCTCGTTACCTTGATAATGGTAGAGTAGCCCGACGTCAAGGAAGTGGACGGAAGAAAACAGCAACATCAGCAGAAATGGTTCGAAAAGTAATGAAGCGACTTGAACGAAACCCATGTCACAGTGGCCGAAAAATGGCTCGTGAGCTGGACATATTCCATTCGGCAAATATTAAAAAATGAGCTGAGAGTAAAACCATTGAAATTCCAAAAGGTGCAGGAACATACACCGCAACAGAAAAAAAATTCTTGGCCGAAAGTGGTGAACTGCCGAATTTGGTTTTCTCCGATGAGAAAACATTCGTTGTCCCGCAATTTGTAAACCAACAATATGATCGTGTTTACTTGCCAAAGAGGTCAGTTGAAAATGTGTCCCGCAATTTGTAAACCAACAATATGATCGTGTTTACTTGCCAAAGAGGTCAGCTGAAAATGTGCACCTTCGGTTGGCCATCAGAACTCAATCGCCGGCCATGGTGTGGGCCGCCATAACAGCAGATGGTCGTTCTCCGCTCGCATTAATCGACCCTGGCATCAGAATAAATGACGATATTATCGCAAAAATATTCTGGAGGGTATATTAAAGACTTTGGCACGAGACATTTTGGCCACAGAACTTGATCATTCCAACAGAACTCAGTTCGCGCCACCCAAGTATGGCGTAAAATGGTCACGAAAATCTCCGGATATCAATCCGTTGGACTATTGTGTCTGGAGTATTTTGGAAACAAGGTTGGCACTAAAAAATACCAAAGTGTTGATCACCTCAAGCGTTATTTTAAGCTCAATTTAGTACATTGTGCAAAATTTAGCAATCGGAAGAACTTTAGGTATTTGGTGCGCCTACATTTGCACCATTTTGTTGAAACGAGCGACAATATTTATGAGAGTTTCCTTCTCATTGCAACACGTCGATTATTAATCCCGAAACAGAAAAAATATCATACAATGAGCATCATCCTTACAGGAAAAAACTCAAATAATGAAATTTCAAAATTCGGACGCGGCCGGATATAAAGAATTTCACCACTTTGGGTATATAAGAGAAATATACGATTCTTATTGTAAGGTACAGTAAAATATATATCGTTAAACACTGGTGGCCAAAACTAAAGCAACTGAAATTGCGCACTGAATGAATGACATGTAGCTTTTTTAAAATTAAATTTATAGCGAAAATTTTTTTCAGAAATAAATAGGCAATTTATAAACTTAAAAAAAAACAAACGCAAAATTTAATAAAAAATATTATAAAACTGTTTCTATAGGGTGAAGATTGATGATGATTATTATTCTAGCCATTATATTATATATATGATTTTTGACTCCCGCAAAAATCTTCGACATGTTTCAATGTATTGTCATGTTTGAAACACACAAACAAGCCGTATATTTTCTCCATTGCATGAAACTATAGCGTTTTCAACATATTTGTATAAACAATCCGATCCATTACTTCATTCTCGTAAATAGATCGAACTCCATAAAGAGGGAAACATCCTCATTGACCCCTCTTTGCTTCCATGTATTCTTGCAATACTGAGGCTTGAGTCTTATGCACGATTATTTGATATTCTCACTTTCATTTTTTCTTATTTGAGCTTTTAATATTTAACTTTAATTCATCCGAGAACATAATAGGTGTCTACTAAGTAGGATTCAAATTAATATGAGCAAAAAAATCCTTCGAAGTCTTAAATGGGTAGTTTTCACTTCTATGACAATTTGTTGATGAACGTTCACTACCGATATAGTTGAATAAAACTGACTTATAATTCGAGAAATTATGGTCATTCTAAGGTCTAATTTAATTTTAAAGGGATAAACTAAGGATATTTTGCGTAATTTTATATGGGACTATATTGAAACACGACATAATATTGAAAATTAAATGCCAAAGCTCTGTCTTCAATATTGCGATCTCTACCGTCCTCTGACTTATAGTGAAACCTTTATGAACTAATTACCAACTTAATCTACGCGTTTGCAATATTTTTACGATAGTGGATAACAAATGTTGGGAATCCAAGGTTAATTCGAACAAATGTACCAGAAGCATTTTGTCCAGATATAAAATACTTAAAATTGGCAAATTGCTCGAATTATAATTTCATGCATATATTCCAATAAATCTGTCATCAGATTGAGATATATTTATATTATTGCGAAATGTTGCTAAATTTTTGAAACTGGATTTGTTGTTTTCTTGTCTTTAGAACTTGTTTGTCATGGCGTTAATAAATATTTTTAATTATATTTGTCAGCGTGTATATATGTTAATCTCATTAGATTCTTTTCAACTGACAAATATTAATTGAGATATTATTATTATTTTTGAAACTAAAGCCATTGCCGAACGATATTTAAAAACAAGAATTTGTACATGCAATTTGAACTGAAAAATGGAAATCCTTAAATGAAATACATGACCGTTTTGTTTTAAGTTCTTCATTCAACAGTAATCCATCAGCCTAATCAATGAACACTTTCTAAATTTTAAACGGATGTTTTCCTTTGATGAAAAATTAAACAAAATAAAATTGCCAATACAATTTTATTGAATTAAATTAACATCGACATTCCAGTGTTGTGACTAAAAAACAACTAAAAGAATGCCGCCTCCACACTAATATTGAACAAAGAAACCGATCAAGAAAATCTGACGGAAATTAACAAAAAATAAACATTTTTACGGATATGTTTGCTTGAGGAACTAATGTGTATTTAGCTTTTGTAATATATTTACAATTAGAAAACCGTTTATGTTTGGAGTACAATTTTAGTGCTTCAAAGTGTTATTTGATCGAATAATAAATAATTTAGTTTAGTAATTACTCACAAAAAGGAGAGTCCGTCCGAATTTAACGACTTCTTACCTGTTCATATTTTAAAACCCCCAGCCACATTATCCAATCGAATTTAGTTTAGAATGCTTTGTGTTAAGTTTGAAATCGGTTCAGATTTAAAAACAATTCCCATATATACTTCAGTCTCATTTTATGTAAATGGTGCAAACATAGGATGTTCGATTTACTCGATATTTTTTTAGTATATTGAATTGAGTATACAGTGTCATGTGTTAAGTTTTTGTGAAATCGGTTCAGACGTAGATATAGCTCCAACATATATTTTTATCCGATTTTATGCAAATGGTGCACTGAGGAGCCTATGTTTATTCGCTTTACATAAAATATGTGTGTATTGGATTTTGTAATATATATTCACATGTAGATATAACCGCTATATATTTTCGACTGATTTCATGCAAATTGTTCACCAAATAATAAACATTTCTCCGGTCGAGTTAACACTATGGACCGCACACTGTGTTGCAGCATTGCAAAATGGTGGATGCCACGTTTGCTCAAATACGTTCAGATTTACATATAGCAGCCATACATAATTTTGTTCGATTCCCAACAACTTATTGACATTCAAATTTTCATAGATTTTTAGAATGGTTCAAAGTTCACACAGTTAATTTCGTCCGATTCCATTTCAATATATCCTATCTACAGGATATAGTACATATGAGCATCTCTTGCATGTACCCAAAGTGGTGAAGGGTATCATATAGTCTGCCGTCTTTTAAACTTTCCTTACTGGTTTTCAAAAGGCGGACACGATAACTAAAAAACTAATAATCCAATTCGTTCCAAATTTTAATACGTTATTCTGTACATACATAGCTGTGGTGTGAACTATATTATAATTGTTATCGGTCAAGAACTTCCTTATTTTCTAACTTGGTTTGTAGTAAAAAATAGAGCATTTTCCCAAAATGTTAATAATGTTAATAATTCTTGTTCATATCAGAGTCAGATATGTTGTCTTTCGAATGCCGTTGAAATTTTTGGAATCGGGCGTTCCAGTGATCGGAAATTATTCCCAAGTCGAAAAGAAGGACTATACGTTAATTTCGTAAGAAACTACAAAAAAGTATGTCAAATCATGTTCATATCCTTTAAGTCTTCATGTCGAATTTCTCCCTCTGTGTTCTTAATATACCCACGAAGGGCTTTCATCCCCATAAGGAACCTTCATGTACATTCCGTAAATCTAGCGAATAAATTGTCCATTATATTCAAACCTTGCACATCCTAATACTTTTACTGAAACTAGATCAAGTCCAAAGTGGGAACCCTTCGATAATAAGCAAAAAATAAGCATTTTATTGTTAATGGAAGCCCACTATTTCTAATCAACCGCAAACATAGTTTTACTCTTAATGTTGAAAATAGTATAGTATAATTAAATTTGTAAATTTTTCAACGTGTTATCCATGTTTTAAAATATTGAATTCTCGTTAAATTCATATCAAATAACCAATCTCCACCGTTCTACCTACCCACCCATTTTAAGACATTTTATTTTAAATGTCATTCTAATTATTTACGATGATTATATTCCGATGAACTCTTTTGCTCGTGTTAACGTCATGCGCGTTTATTCAAACGTTTACGGCCTATTCCATACCTCTACCCATAAGAGGGGCGGTTTATATTTCTGTCGAAAGTTTATTTAACTTGCCGATGTCGATGAAGATTTATAACACCAACAACAAATAGTCATTGTTGTTATTGAATATTATTTTTCGAATGGGGGAGTTAGTTTGCTGTCTATATAACATTTCGTGGGATACTTTATACGCTTTATTGCCACTCGAATGAAAAAGAAAATTAAATATTACTCAATTATGCGTTTTTACCGACTATTTATTTCATTATACAGTATACGTTCGTTCTGTTCCCTTCTCTTGGTGTATTCGTTTTTTCTTTTTATTGATTTTGTTATGCGTGAATAAGTATCGAATTTAGAGCAACATTGTGGCAATAAACCATACCTAATTTATACAGACGTGTGTTTGTGTGCTGCCCATTCTCGTTTCCTATTCCGCCATCTCCATCAATATGCTGGCGTTATGCAAATAAACTGGGTTTCAATTTATTGAAATAACCCCGCACGCACATACTTACTTAGAGTCTTTCACATGGCATCTGACAATTTGTATTGGACATATTTAGTATGTAAATACATATGAGGTGAAGTATATAACAGATGACACTTATATTGATCATAATATACAATTCTAGAATGACTAAACATGAGGTATATATAGTATTCTGCATAGTAATTTTCTACTCTATTATAGTTCGGAAACCCCCGTATGCTCCCGATCGACTGGAATTTTCAGATTTCTTTTAAAATTTCTATTATTTAGGACACGAAGATCTTGTTGGTGAACTTACACACGGCTAGCTAAAAACTCATCAATAAATTTAGACCTCAAAAAGAAACAAACAATTTGAAAACAGTATTTTTTAAATGATACATGTTGTTGAAAATACACTCTCTAAATTTGAGACAGACATTACAACAGTTTCAAAATTATGTCAAATATATGGGAAATTACAAAATTCATTTAAAATTCCATTAAATTTTTTTTTAAATTTTTTTTCGAGCACATTTATAATTTTTGGTACATAGGTTAAAAAAAATAGGCTGATTCGAAATCTGTTCGCGTTCACAAATTCGGATGCTACG